CAGAAGCCTCATATCACTCTGTATTGCATCAGATGTACTAATAAATATATTAAAAACAAAGTCACGCATTAGATAAGGAACAAAAATTGTATTCAAAAGTTCATGAAAAAAAGAATAAGAAATATACCAAGAAATTTGATTCATCAGAACACAATTGTGTAGGGGTAGGTAAAGAGATGATCTCAAAGTATGAAGGGGGTTAAGACTTTGAGTCAGCTTAGAATTGGCATTCCACTTGAGAGGAAAACTAAATCCGCATGCAACAGGTGCTCAAGGACTATTCTTATATGTCAAGAAATGTTCCTAGTAGTACGTAATAACCATGTGAATCTTTAGATTGGTAATTCAGCCTCACAACCATTTGATGAAATAAGATTCAGTTGATGTAAATAGCAAAAATCCCAGTTCTGAGTTTAGGGAGTGTTTCCTCTAAAGGTACTTTTGCATTATCTTTTTTTAAACTTAGTTTGAGTTTATGAGAAAATCAAAAGCAGCAAGGTTTACATACTAAAGGGCAGTTAATTAACATACCAATCTTCCCATGACCAATATCAACCGTGCAGCCTGAGATGCGCCCTACTGCATAAAGCGATAACACTGCTTGCTCAGAAGCATAAAAGCCAGAGATGTTAAATGTTTCAAACATCAATTGCACCAACTGCTCCCTAACAGCCTGAAACCATCAAACCGTTATAGGCATGTTAAACGTTGAATAAGGAATGAATGATACATGATTTTGTACACTTCATGAAACATAAGTATCTACAAAGTAGTTCTTGGTATCTAAGAAAATTTTAGCAACTTCTTAACCCAGCCTCAGCATAATGCAACATAACTTACATATCAGTGGGCCTTATGAAATCACCTCTCTTAGCTTTCAGAACATTTAACTCATCACATAGACATGGACAACAATTATTTAACAGTTCAAACATAAAAAGTTCCCAACATAGCCACAGTGCAATGGCACGTAAAATTACCAAAGACCTGGCCTTATGAAAGTACCTTGTTTTTTAAAAACATTTATCTACTCACATAAACATAGATGTCAAAGCTTTTAATAGTTCGAAGTTGAAAAGTAGACATCATGACTACAACATACTTCATGATAGGCTACCCATCCTGAATCACTAAAAGCATTGGACATAATCTATAGAAATGAAACAATCTCACGAGGGAATCATCAGACAGCACTACTCTGCAGCACAAGATCAACCACTGACTAAGAAACACAATGGTGTACCCAAATATGAAGCCAAAACCATGAAAAAAATCACTTCCATCATTTTTTTCTTCTAGTCTCTAGTCATATGTGAATGAGAATGAGTATGAATGTACATATGCCATATATTTCCAGTTTGAATGAATTAGAATTTAATACACACATACAGCAAGTTCTTGGTAGCTTTTCAAAATAAAGATACATTTTTTCCTTTCACATTACACTAAAGATATGTATGTCAAGGTGCTAAAATCTATATGTTTTTATATAAAAAGATATATATATATATAGAGAGAGAGAGAGAGAGAGAGGGAGAAAGGATCAGACCTTGGGAGTGCAAAGTGGATCTGTGAATAAAATTTGGCCTTCGTTGCCCATTTCCCACCCAAGGCCAGTATAAAGAACATGGTGCAATAAATCTTCCATGGCATCCCAATCTTTAACAAAACCTCGGACAATTGGATCCACCGTTATATCTTCAACCAAGGAAGGATCATCTAATGAAGCATCTATAGGCATCCGTTTCATTTGTGTCGGAATTATCTAAAGCATTCATTTAAATCACGTTAAACACCATCCTTCCAAACACTAAAGAATAAACCAAAGGACTAGAAAGCCTCAAAAAGATAACACCTATAACATCTGTGATCATCAAACAACAAAACAAAACATATTTCAAACGACTTTCTGGGCTTTTTCCATTTTTAGAGTGGGCGAATGGTTTCAACCTTGGACACATGATACCGTTTTAGTCGGAAGAAGTTATCTAGATAATAACCAGCTCAAAATTCATGAAATATTTTGCTCCACTTGGAATTAAGTAGGAGGATTTTCCCCCCTTCTGTTTGTAGCTGTATTTTACATGTTCACATCAGTATTGTTGACATAACAAGAAAATTTCAGCTCAAATTGAACTGACTTGCAGATAAAGTCTTAAAGGCCTGAGATTTCGGTTTCCAACTTATTTTTACTAATCTGCACATAATGTTTTCCCAACAAAGCTTACCCAAGAATGCAACTGAGGTTCAATAACAACCGGATTAAAACCCCCAAGTTTCCTATAGCTTGCCGCATCAATTTGCAAGAACGGTAGACTTCAAACATGATTCTTCACTAGAAAAAGCTACATAAAAAATTCAACTTAAACATGAATTACTTAAGTTACTCGGAATGAACATAGCCCTAATTTTTGGAATCCTCACTCCTCATTTCGACATAACAATAAAAATTTATCCAAAAATGAGAACTTTTCAGCTAAAGATTGAAGAACTATGCAGACCGAGAAAAAAACGCACGGTTTTTTCCCCCAGTTACTTTCTATCATATTTTTGTCGGATTAATGGAAAGAGAGAGGCGACAATGAAAGTGGGAAAAGAATGATCAGCATACCATGGAAGGAGCCTGATCAGGAATTGCAAAGCCGGCTTTGAGGAGCTTAGAGCCGGCATCCACTACCACTGCCTCCATTTTACCGGCGAAGAGCAGTTCAACGGCGCCGTCGGGCGGCGGGAGCACAATGGAGATGGGAAGTAGAGGTACTGAGATAGGTAAAAGGCTAAAAAGTGTTTTTTTTTTTTTTTTCCAACTGAAATAATCCCTCCCTTTTCGTTTGTTCATTTGAAAATTGAAATAGAAAACGGTTTTACCCATTTTCGGGTAATTCCAAATCTTAGTCAACCCACACGGGTTCTAATTGGCACCCGACTTCACTTGGGCTGAAAATGGGACCCGAAAGGTGATAGCGATGCAAGTTTGAGTATAGAATATGGGATCCATCTGCAATCTAGTATTGAGAGAAATACTACACGTGTAGTATTCATTAACATATATAGTAAATGTGTGAATGCCATTCCCTCAAATTGAACTCAATTGCTGACGTGGCACTCTCCCATTATCAATTGGTGGTAGTCCTCCAATTGATTCCAATTTGATGAGTTGTCGTCCTTTGATTCGTCAATTGGTGGTAGTCCTTCCAATTGTACATGAAAATAGTGATGTGACGAGTTTTGATTGGATAGGAGGCGGTAGTTTCCTAATTGCATGCAGGATTGTGCTAAAATTTAGCCTTTTTTTCCCTTTCCCAACAATAAATTGTGTTAACAAAAAATTGGTATCCCAATTATTCACAATTATCAACGTTTTTTTTGGTTGCCAAATAAATCATAATTATTAATTATTATTTTTTATTTATTGTAATAATTGCTTATGTTATGTTCTAATTGTATTAATTATTATTATGTTATCTTTTTTGTAATTGCTTTTGTTATGCTCCAATTGTGAAAAATTTACTCTTTATTTGATTTTTTTCCAACGACAACCTAGCTAATCTCATTGAAAAATTAACATATATAGTAAATGTGTGAATGCCATTCCCTCAAATTGAACTCAATTGCTGACGTGGCACTCTCCCATTGGTCAATTGGTGGTAGTCCTCCAATTGATTCCAATTTGATGAGTTGTCGTCCTTTGATTCGTCAATTGGTGGTAGTCCTTCCAATTGTACATGAAAATAGTGATGTGGCGAGTTTTGATTGGATAGGAGGCGGTAGTTTTCTAATTGCATGCAGGATTGTGCTAAAATTTAGCCTTTTTTTCCCTTTCCCAACAATAAATTGTGTTAACAAAAAATTGGTATCCCAATTATTCACAATTATCAACGTTTTTTTTGGTTGCCAAATAAATCATAATTATTAATTATTATTTTTTATTTATTGTAATAATTGCTTATGTTATGTTCTAATTGTATTAATTATTATTATGTTATCTTTTTTGTAATTGCTTTTGTTATGCTCCAATTGTGAAAAATTTACTCTTTATTTGATTTTTTTCCAACGACAACCTAGCTAATCTCATTGAAAAAAATTGGTGCTCTTTATTTTTGTTTTTTTTTGGAATGAGAGGGGAAGACATTCAATTATTATTATCAAATTTCCACGATAATCTTTATTTAGTATTAATTCTACGTAAACAATCAACAATGTGGTGCCCTTCCATTAGTGTCATTTATTATTTGGTCACGCCACACACCATGTTTAATTATAGATTCCCCACTATTATTTGTTATAATTATTTATTTATTTACTTTTTATTTGGGTTCCATTTTTCGGTTACCCAATAAATCACATTTAATTACCAAAATTTTACAATTCATTGTTAATAACTAATTAATAGCGTTATTTTTTTACCTAACAAATCACATTTAATTAATAACTTTTTTGCAATTATTAACAAAAATTTTGGCTTCTTTTTTGTGTTTGCCCCAAAAAACACATTTAATTACAATTTTTTTCCAAATTTTATAAAAAGTGTTCTCTTTTATTTTGGGTTGCCCAACAAATCAAGTTTAATTATCAATTTTTTGAAATTAATTTTTAATTAATTAAGTAATAATTTCACAATTTTATTGCCTGACAAATCACATTTAATTATTAGCCTTTTATAATTATTAATATTATTTTGGTTACCCAACAAATCGCATTTAATTATCAATTATGTGTAGTTATTAGCCAAAATTTAACCTCTTTTTTTTGGTTGCCAATCAAATCACATTTGGTTGTCCTTTTTAACAATTAATTGATAATTAATTAATTAATATTGTTACTTTTTTGTTGCCTAACAAATCACAATTAATTACCAATTTGTTGCAATTAGTTGTTAGTTAATTAATCTACCTTGCTCCACCTTGAGAAAAACGCTTCCCTTTAGTCTCGTTGTCCCATTTTTTTTTCACTTTTCTGAATAAACATGTGGTGGGTAGACTTCCTCTCTCTGTAACAGTTTTTTCTGGTGGGATTTGACAGGGGGTTGGGCTCGATGCATCAAAAGTCTCATCTTTCCCTCTTGTTCATCGACCGTCACTCTCTAAACCTCTTAGAACAACTCTCTCTCTTCTTCTTCATCTTCCAGCCTCTCTCTGAGAACAACAACGAGCAAGATGGTTTTCTTCATCTTCCAGCCTCTCTCATCTTCTTAGAGAGGCTTTTTGTTTTAAAGTTCTTCCCTCCCTGCCAAAACTTATTTAGCCCTTTATTTTTTTTAATTTTTTATTTGTCTAATATACATAAATTTCTGATCTTGCAGGTGAAATATTACAAATTTCCTCCAACATTTTTATCAAATTTTGTAAGTTTTTGTTGATCCCTTATTAAAAACAGGTTCTATATGGTTAAATGTGCTTTGTTGCAACCTTTCTTTTCTATTACTGACTTATTCTTGTTTTTCTTGCCACATGCATATCTCGATTTTTCCCATGGCTATGAAGCATCAAAACACATGTAAGAAATTTGAGAAATTTTTTCCCTAATGCCTTCTGATGTTATGGGTCGAAATAATAGAAATATGTCTACAGTTTGTCTTGCCTATGCCTTATTCACATATCTTGCTCCAAGAAGATTGTCGACCTGCTTCATTGCTATTCTATAAATGGTTATATGTAGGTAAATCGCTACTCTATTTAAGATTTTTTTCCCATGAGTGCGAATGTGTAATCTTTGTCATGGTGCAGGGTTTTTACCCATAATATTTTGATTGGTTTATTTGTTTAGACAAAAGAAAAAGTGTGAGGTTGAATATTATATAGGTGCAGTCTTCTGATGAGTTTTTCCCTTCAACCTTCTATTTTATCAAAATACCAGATTTTGAACAAATGTCATGAATCAGAAATGTCTATGCTCAATTATAGACTGATATGTGAAAGTTGTCTCTAATAATTTGAAATTCACTCCTTTAATTCATTAGTGAACAGTTTGATAATAGTAGCCTTCCTACCTTTTATCATGCAACTTATTTTAGACGGGTTTTCCTTCTGGGTTTATATTGTGTATGGCATTTTTAGCAATTAAAGGATTATTCTATGACTAATTAATATGTTAATAGGTTAGACAAAATAAGTTAGAGCGAGACTAATTGGCAGTGGAGTGAGAGGAGTCTTAACATGGGAAAGAACAAGTATAGAAGACATGTTAAAGATTTGTCAATTGACAGAGCAACTCTGTATGAACTTCAACTAGATGCTGCCTAAGGTATATGTCATTTGGTGATAAAACACTGCATTCTGCTGAATTATTTTGGTGGTTCTTGATTCTCATTTTGCAGAATTTAACTAGTGAACTCTACCACAAATCCTTGGAAGATGCTGCTAAGGTATAATTGCTCATTATCTTTCATTTGCTAATCACCGGATAACAATTTGTTCCATGTGTGTTTCTTGTATTAGGAACAAAAAGACGTTTACTTGAAATATCAGACCTAGATAATCAGTTATTACAAAAATGCCTGGTCTGTGTGTCTATCTATTTTTTGCATATGATGTTTTGACTTGGACAAAAGATTGAAATGTTTAGTCCAGATTATTATAGAACAATGGTGAAGTATGTGTATGTGTGTGTATAAAAGATTATTACATGTGGTGAGTTTATTCCTAGCATGTATTTTGAGACCATTAACAAGTATAAGATTAGGAAATTATGGCTGCATATTTGCTCAATCCAGCAGTTTTGCTAGAGAAGTTTTGCTCAGCTATACTTGGCTTAGTGTCTTTAGATCTCGACATATTACTGTTGCTTGGGAAAATATTTTTGCTTTAGGAATCAGGGTTTTTTTATTGCCTTGAAGACTGCAGGGTGTAAAAAACATTTACTCATGTTGATATATTCACCAAGATTTATTATGGCTATAGCACAACGTATGGTAGCACAGGCGTGATGTGGACATGATTTGCTTCAAACAAGCAAATTTTGTTTGGGAAAAAATCATATGATTTGCTTTAGTATTTGTATTTAACATGTATTTGCATTATATATGTTGACTTTTTTTTTTTGAGATTTTAATATTTTAGGTTCCAATCTTGGTCCTTTATGTTTTGCATTGCTGGTTAAGCAGAACCACCCAAAAGAAAGAAGAGGTTTAGATGGTTGAAATTCATCATATGTGGAATTTGATAGTTTTCTTTGATGAAAAAATCCGGATTTGTTTTTTCTTTACCTTTTTCTGGTTTTTTTAGTTGGCTTTTTCCTTAATTTTGGTTTCTTAATCAATTTGGATGTGAAACTTTGGAAATGCATTCCAAAGTTTAGTGCTTAATGCCTATTTATGGTTTGGCAAACACAAGTTCTTTGCTTCCTGCTAATCCTCAGGCTTTGTTGCTATTGTTTTGTTTCATATTGTAGTTTCACACACCCTATGCTAGATTTGGTGGTCTAACATATTAATTATAATTATCTTTTATGCTCTAATATGTTCCAAATGTTTATTACAAGATATTAAGATATGCAACAAAGGATTGGAGAAATTCTTTTCTCAAAGTGCACATTATTTAGACTCTCTGTTTTTTCCCCTGGAAAAAAGTTAATCTAATTTGATTTTGTCTTTTCTTTTTCCTAATTAATTTGATTTTTTCTGCATTTGTTTGTTCTATATTATTTCTAGATAAAGGAACAAGGAAAAAGGAGGCTGCTTTTCTCCATTCAACCATGAATGTGTGTTTTAATGTTTTTGTGTTCTCTTCATTCCCCCCTCTTCCTCCTTAGTAGTTTATTGTAATTTTTTTCTTGCTTTGCCCTATTTATTGGTTTTGAAAAAAGTGGAGGATGATTGTTTGGGAAGGTTATCCTATTTCCTCTAGATTTAAAGTTAGTAGATTACCTATTTCATTTTTATTTTTTATGTTTGTCTCTCTCTCGTATTTTTTGCATCATATTGAAGCATTCCTTGAAATTTGAAAATGGATTGTAGGAATTAAAAGATTAACCTCCAAGTGAAACTTCATATATAGGGGAATATCTGACTTTTTTTGCTAGCAATACAAAATAAAAAACAATTGGTTGCGACCAGATTATCTTTGCATTTTATCCCTTGGTGAATGTTTAGTTGTAAAACAAGACATATTGTACTGATGTTGGAATCTTATTGATTTTGTGTAAGTATGACTAAATATAATGTATATTGATGATATCTTGGCGATGAATACTCTTTCTCAGCTCTTTTTGATGAATCTCCTCTTGTTCCCATCATGATTCTGTTGTTTGGTGATTTCTCAAATCATTTTCTTGGTTTTGTTCTTGCTCTAGCTTTTATTTGTTTAAGCTATCATGGGACATCCTTTTTGGTTTTGACCCTTTTGATCATTTTTTCCTCATGGTAGATGGCTACCAAAGCACATAGAAATAAGGTAATTTCTTCCTGACAAAGAAGAAAATAGTTATGACTTAAGATATGCATGTTAATAATTGTACTTCTTGCTGCAATTAAATTTGTTTTATTGAAGCATATATAAGGTTCCTAAGCAAGACACAGAGAGCATCATCCAGAAAGCTAATTCTTTTGACTTTTGAATCTTTGAATACCTGTGCATCGTGGCTATGGTAAAAACTTGGTTCTAAATTTCTTTTTTGCTTTTCAAAATAGAAGTAAGAAAATTGTGCCCAAGACAAAGGTGCAACGGTTTATGTATACGCGGTCTACTATGAGAGATAGGTAGCCAGCTATTTCACACTTTTGGATAGCATTTTATAACTCAAGTAAGTGAAATTAAATTCTTGGCTTCTTGTTTTCTTAGTTTTGTATCAATAAGTTTGATTATGCCTACATAAGTTTGATTATGCCCACAATGTGCTGCTTGCTTTAGTAAGATGTTTGGTGTGCTATGTAAATAAGTTTCTTAATCATTGACTTTAAAAATTTGGCTACTAAGATAAGCACAAAAATTAGGACGAGAAAATTCCTATGGTAGATTTAATATAAATTGGGAACTTAAGTGGCGTGCCACTTTTGCTGTTTCATTGGAGCACAAGGACTTGACAATTTAGGAAGTTGTTTAACTAATAAAATGGCTGAAATGGTTTAAAAAATGTATTTTTCAAAAAGGTGAAACAGATTTAAATTGTAGCACTAAAGAAGTTGTCATTTCTTTTTATTGATTTTTTTATACAGTATGTATTATACAAAATTTTTTTTTTTGTCTTTCTTCTTTTCTCGAATTCGATTAAAAACTTACATACAACTCATAAGTAATGACAAAAAGATGCAGAATATTGGCCGACTAATATCTTGTCCTTTTTTGAGGGCACAAGTGGGAATGCAAAATTTGGTTTAAATCCATTTGACAAGTGTGCAGTTTCAAACCTTTAAACATGAGATACACAATTTTTATACTTAGTCTAACTCAGCCAAATAAATAGTTGTGTATCTGCTTGGTGACTTTTGAGTGTAGAGATGTTTTATTACATTTGATGAAACAAGAGTATGAAGCCTCCTTGGTGAGTTCTTACTTTATGTTAGTTAAATAGTCAAAATTAGTTCAAAAAATATTATTGCAAGTTTTCTATTCTACAAGTTCCTATATTCCTTTCTTGATGTCTCTACCTTGTATGAATTCCAAAGAAATTGAACTTGTTTCGTCTTTTGGTGATTTTAATTCCAAGATTCAAAAACAGTTCTGAATAAGTTTCAATTGTTGTAGGAAAACAAGACTAAAGTGATAAAATTTGTTGGGTCGGTGGATGAATATTTTGGCCTCAAATGCCATTTTGAAAGGTATTAATACCTTTCTTTGCTGTTATCATGCGCCCAAAATATTTCCATTATATTTCTATTTCATTTGCTTTATCATATCTCATTTGCTATGTCAATAAGGTTCTAAACTTGAGATAATGACTTGTTTATCTTATCACAGACCGGAAGCATATGCAGCTCTCCACTCCCAATTGTGTTTGAGTCTTGTATCTCTTACTGTTTACATTAAAAAAAGGAGTCTTCATGGGTGTTAGTAGTTGAGAGAAAAAGGGCATTTCATAGCTTTTTTGTATTTTTATAATTTATACCTATTGGAACATTAAGAATATTGTACTGATACTGCTTTCTAATGGGAAAATCTGGTGGAGAAAGAAATCCAACAGGTCCTGTAACTTACAATTATACTATTCGTTTTCTTTCTAGATGAGAGTCCATTTTCTTAAGTCTGCTAACATGGATGCACTTCACGGTTACAGTATCATCGAAAATTACTTTTGCTAATTGCTTTAGAAACTTTTGAATGGATAAATACGATACAGCTTTATCTAATTTTGAATGGATGAATACAATATTTATGATTTAGCTTAATATAATTTGCAACCATTATGTACTTTGTATAACTAGAAAAACCTAAATAATTGGGCAAACTTGAAATTTAATTATGTATGATGCATAACTGGGCAAACATGAAAATTTTCACCGCGCATCGCGCGGTGTTCTCCTCCTAGTTATTGTCTAATGTGGGAGTGACGCCTCAACAAATGATAATTGCAATGATCGATGAAAATAAGTGTTCATATAAAATGTCCTATTTCTGCCTTGGGTCATGACCGATTGTTGTAGATGCATAACCGGGAACATGTGTATTAAAAAATGAGAGAAGTGGGGACAGGCTTAAAGAAACAAAAGAGCATACTCTTGTATTCTACCATCCACGTCATAAAAATTTATGGTCTTCCCAATGAATTTGTATCAGACAAAATTCAATTTAGTTGTACCGCAACTAGATTGTCCGAGGATTAGTTCCAAGTTTGCTGTCCAAGTTGCATTTAATGCTTTCACCAACAGCCACTCAAGCGTTTGGAAATGAGTTATTAAAAATTTAATGAATTAAAATGGTTGTTGAGAATAATAAATAGCATTACTTTGAACCTATACTATAAATTGTTCAAGAATGGCAAGGATCCATCACAATGTATATGGAAGAAAAGTAGGTGGAAAATCAACAAAGAAAACCTCCCAAAATTGAAAAGAAGGTAAGTAATATTTATTAAATTTTGATAAAGACCACGTTTATGTTTTTTAAATAATTAGATAAATCACTAATGTTAGAGGAAAATGTTATCTGTGGGTCTTGCATTATGCGGTGGGATATGCATCTCTTTGTTTGATTAATTTTTACGAAGTACAAAATAGTCAATTTTTATGCAACTAATTTTTTGTTTAATTATTTTCACTAAGTTTTGGGTCACTATTTGGCTATTGGTTCCGTTAAGGACATGGATTTGATGTCATAATAATAATTTAAAATATTAATAGAAGAATGTGATAGACAATAAAAACTATGTAAGGACATAGTTTTCATGTTTGTAAATTTGGAAGAAAGAATCGGAATAAATTATCAGGGAGAAAGCATTGGAAGAAATTAACCAACCAAATTGTGAATGAGTTTGTGTCCAAATCAAATAGTAAACTGTTTTTGTCCACTTATGACTTTTATTGTAAGTAAGGTAGTGGGAGAAAATGGTGGATAATTAACATAAAAGCCTCTTTTAAGACTTTAAATCCTATTACTGATTCTGGAGTCGTAAATTATTCAATGTTTTTTTTCTGCTACTCCACTGTTTTTTCTTTGGTAGGACTAAGTTTAAAGATTTAATTAATTTTTTTTTTAAAGGAAAAAAATTAAGGAATGACATGTATTACATTCTTTTGTATAATTAATTTAATTATGAATTTTGTGGAAGAAGTGAAGTTTAAAAGTGGCGTGTTTATACTATTGAATTCATATAAGTGTGGTTACATGGGAATGAAATGTAATAAAAAGGATGTGAGTATTGATTACCAATTTTGGCAGTACATGAATGGTATATAATAACGTCAATCTTTTGTTTTATAGAATAAAAATGGAAGATAGCGGAGGCATGTGTGGAAGACAATCAATGTTAAATTTAAATGAATGTCCAGAAGACCCATATGTAGATGTGGAAGAAAATGGCAGTAGAGAGACTAGGGGCGAAGAAAATGTCGAGAACACTGCAATTGATATTGCCTTGGATCAATTTTGTGTGGATGGCATTGAGAGTGATGAAGTGATGAAAATGACATTTCCGTCCGAGTCACATGTCGAGCTATTTTATAACACATACGCAAGAGCAATAGGGTTTAGCATCCGCAAAAGTGATTTCAAGATGTTTGATAGTGAGATTTTGAAATGCAGAAAATAGGTGTGCTCGTGTGAAGGAGAGCGCAATCCAAAATGGAAAAATCTTCAAAATAGACAGAGGGAGGCAAAACCCGACTTTAGAACAAATTGCGAAGCTTGTTTTCGGATAAAGTACAAGTCTACAGGAGATTAATGGCATTGACTTTTACAATTTTGTCTAATACATAGACTTTGAGTATGGGGATGGTGGTATCGGCGTTGAAAACGAAGGCCGCACCAAGCACAAGCCTATAGGAGATTAACTATTGTCCCTCAAATTCACAGTTCCCACCACACATCGGCATGTTGACGGGAAGTGAAAGTGTGGCAATTGTGAAAACTTTCCTTGTTTGAAATAGAATTCCATCCTGTGCATTTGCGCCAATTTTTCCCCTAATGAATTGTACACGTTTGGATTCCGTCCATTTCATCAATCCAATATGGTCTTATATTACTTTAATTACAATCTACAAACATTAATACAAGATTGCATAATTAATATGTAGTTAACTATGTTTGTTGCATATTAATAAAATTGCAACATTTTGGCTTTATTTATGATAGCTAATAAATAATTAATTTTTGGACTAATTTGTCTAAATTAATCATACACCATAATATTGGACCGATATGGTCATACAATTAGCAAACCGCTACTGTTTACGCATTTACCCATATTAAAGAAATAATTAACATTTTTGGGCAAAAAACCCATCCCAATTTGTACAAAATTTATGTATTGGAGTAATTTAGGGATGACAATTAAAATTAATTTTTTGGACTAATTTACTCCTAGTTTTTTTTTTTGGCTAAATCAAACATCTAACTTAACACTGCCAACCAAACGCTGGACAACAGGATTACTCATCCAAAGATGAGTAATCGTCTCTCATTTCACGGAGAGTTCGTTTGCTCCATTGGATCATATGATAATTTGAAGTTATTTACTTCTATTACTTGTTATAAACGACTATTATAAATGAATAGTCACCCATATTAAAATAATAGAAGTAAATAACTATTTTTTTTAACAAATAGAATAATGATCACTTGCTAGTATTATTTTTCTCGAGCTCAACTAGGCTCAAACTATCATAGATTAATGTTGAACTCGAGTTTTAAAATGAAAGTTGATAGAGCTCAAGATCGTTGTCAAGATTTGCATTGTACCAAAAAGCAATTTTGCAATCCTCAAGTAAGTAATTCCTTCCCATGCTATTATTGACAGAATAAATATTGATGTTTATTTGTTAAACTAAACGTTTAATGCAAAACCAACCAAACGCTGGATAACAAGATTACTCATCCAAAGATGAGTAACTGCCTCTCATTTCATGCAGAGTTCATTTGCTCCATTGGATGAATATATTTTAACAAATTGATGGTATAAATTGCTATTTTATTCTTCTTTTATAAATGACTCTTTGTGCAGTCTTATATTACTTTTATTACAATCTACAAACATTAATGCAATACCTTCTATATAATAATTTATTCAAACAATCGTATAATCTATGTTAACTAGATATTAATAAAATTGCAGAATTTTGGCTTTATTTACCATAACTAATAAAAAATTAAGTTTGGGACTAATTTGTTTAAATTAATCATACACTATGATTTTTGACCGGTATGGTCATACAGTTAACAAACCGCTGCTATTTACGCATTTACCCATATTAAAGAAATAAATAACATTTTTGGGAAAATTGCACATGATTTATGTATTGGACTAATTTCGGTGTGACAATTACACTTAATTTTTTGGACTAATTTACTCCTTTTTTTTTTTTTGGTTAAACCAAACATCTAACATGACACTACCTACCAAATGCTACACAACAAGATTATTCGTCTCTCATTTCATGTAGAGTTCGTTTGCTCCATTTGATCATATGATAATTTGAAGTTATTTACTTCTATTACTTGTAATGACTATTTATTTATGTTATAAATGTCTTTTTTTTAAACAAATAAAATAATGATCACTCGTTGTTATTTTTCTCAAGCTGAAGCTCGAGATTAATATTGAACTTGAGCTTTAGAATGAAAGCTGGTGGAGGTCAAGATCGTACTGGAAGTTGTGAAAATTGAGCCAATTCAGCTCATTTTGCAATCCTATATGTTATGGAGCCTTGTTATTAAATCTATGTACTTTTTGTAAATTCAATATTAATACATTAATCAAAAAATGAATAAAAAAAATAGAGCCTTGCAATCCGATATGACTCGATAACCCGTTTGTGAATTAATAATAATTTAATAAACATAAAAATTATTTTATCTAACTAAACTAAGTTTTTTTTTTCCAAAGGCATTAATCACTTAATCCTAAATGAATTTATTTAACTTGTGTGAAGTTAAAGTTATTATATTTGTACAAATAATGTATTATATTATTTTTTTACTTTTATACTGTTTTAATTTAATTTATATTTGGTTTGGGATAAAACACCTTTACGATGTTTGATTTATTTTAGATTTGGTTTGGGATTATTTATTTAAATTTTTATTACTTGATTATGTAATTAGTTTTGTGCGAAATTGGTTTATTAGAAATTACAATGATAAATTAATAAATTAAAATTAAGTTTCGGGTCATTTTGGGTCACCCCACCAATCAAAAATTTTCGAGTTTGTGTCAAGTATCTTGACCTGTTTCAGTTTGGTGGGTCAGGTTCAGGTCAGCGGGTTTTCTGTTACACTCGGGTCTCAACTCGACCCGTCACCCCGATTTGGACCCGATTGCCACCCCTAATCGTATTGGAAGTTGAGAAAATTGAGTTGATCCAGCTCATTAAATCTATATTTTTTAAAATATAATATTAATATATGTAATCAAAAAATGAACAAAAAAGAATTTGGCAAAAATACAATATATTACGGCTACTTTGTATTTGCTGCTTTAATTTGAAGTATCCCAGTTAACAGAACAAAGTAAAGTATAATGAATTTTTTTGCAAAAAATATAAAACATTTACCCATATCAAGATTTCT